ATATATATATATATATATTTAAAATAGGATTGAGTCCATTGTCACCCTTCTAGATTAAACTCAAGGTCTTGCCTGCTTCACGTTTTCAAACTGATCTCTCTGAGAAACTCTGCCCAAGATAAATCTCTGTAAATAGTAATCACTGTACACAAGTCAAGCTTCCTCATGTTTTAGAAAGCAAAACTTAAAGAATGTTTTTTTGATAGTTTCACAGTGATGTAGCTCAGGAAACATATCCAAGTTGCTATCGAGAAACTTCTCAAGCAAGATCAATCTTTTTATGACTGCTTTATCTGAATATATACTTGTATGAAATTATAACTGAAGAAGTGATACAAAACTCTGTTTTCTCATTGAACCACATGTTACAGAGAACACACTGAATATAAAAATGTTTGGTTTTTTTTTTCTCTTTAAAAAGACAAATACTTTTCCTGCTTGTTGCACTGGGTTTGCCATCAATCAAAAGCTCTTGTTTCCACAGGAAACAGTGGCAATTAGAAGTGGACAAATCACAATGATCTGGCAGAACAACATAATGTCTCCCCATAGAATGGGAGATCAGAAAGACTGCAGCCTGTAATAAGACAGGAGTTATCATTTCCACTGGAAACAAGCACAACCACTATTGAGAAGTCGTGAAAACTTGCCAGCTTTTTCTCCCAGATACAGAAACAAGATGGCAAAGAACATGCCAAAAAAGCTACTTGACCATAGGGATCAATAGGAAAAAAAAATAAAAAGTATAAAATCGGTTGATGTATTGAACTACAACTGAATAAAACTTCAGACTAGATACCAAAAAAAGTTTAGAATCAGTGAGCTACAAAATATTAATTGCAGTTAAGTTTCTCTTCTGTGATTTCATTCCAATTTACAAATGCTAAAGCAATAAGGAACAAATTCATTCCAAGTTAGATGTGTACATAAAAAAAAAAAATCAGAGAAAATTCCGAAACTGAAAGCCATGAGAGAGGCCAATCTGTCCTTGAAGACTGAACATTCCAATTTACAAATGCTAAAGCAATTAGGAACAAATTCATTCCAAGTTACATGTGTACATAAAAAAAAAAAAAATCAGAGAAAATTCCCAAACTGAAAGCCATGAGAGAGGACAATCTGTCCTTGAAGACTGATGTGCTGTATTCTTGCTAGGCTGTCCATCTTCCCAAGTGGCAGACTGGTGGTCAATCAATTCATTCTGTGGCATTTGGTCTTTTTTTTTTTTTTTAAATATTAGTATTAAGCATTCCATGTGTGGTCAGGTCACACACATTAGGAGTTTTTCCAAGTATGTTAAAACCATAAGATGACTCTGGATTCTGTAACAGTTACTGTTAAACTGGATAATGATTCTGAAAGAGCTGACATAATGGAGGGGTGGAAAATGAAAAAATAAAATCAGAATTCCACAATTTTCTATTGTTAAAGCCATCACATCAGCAATGCCTTTGAAGGTTCGCTCTCATTTTCTTCAGCATTAGTCTTTTTCTCACTCTTGTAGGTGGAGAGGAATAAGTTTTCTATCTGAGTCAAGAACTCCTCAGCGATGAAGCAGTTTGTTACCTTGCCCAAAGTTTTCCTCAGGCACTCCAAAAGCTAGTCAAGAGAAAAGATTTTAAAAATAAATAAAATAATTGTCATTTTACCCAAGTTTATTTTTTCCCCCTCTTCTAACTGCTATTCTAAAGCTATATTTATTTGCTTATTTAGGATTAACACTACAGAAAGTGTTCAACTGTACAATATAAATTTTAGAGAGGATTTGTCACACAGGAACTCGTGGGTGAGTTAAAACCAACTACCCAACAAAATTCAGGAGTATTCCACCAACTTCATTTTAGATTTAAGCTGTTTTGTAAGCAAAGTCACATGGAGAGGCAAAAATCCAAAAGATAGGGTTAATCACTGCACACAGGTTTTCTGTTTCTGTCTTTTGCTTTGGGCAGATTTTGTGTCTTGTTTCTGCAGTACTTATTTAGAACTTCATAGCAATGACTATGCTGACTAGAAAATGAGTTCTCCCTTACTCTTCTCCAAACCGAGGTTAGAACTTGGCATCTGCAGGGAACCATCATCCCCAGCCCTCTCAGGTGAGCACCCTTATTTTCACTGTGCTCAGAAGTCAATATGCTGCACCACACATTTATTGTCTTCAGGGGACTTCTGATGATATGAAACAAGTATTTTTAAAAATATTTAAAATTTAAAAAGCTAAAAGAAGAAAACTTACTTTCTGCAAACAAGTCAGGTCTGAATCTCTGTGAAAAATTTTATCCATGGGGACACTGCTGTTGAAAGAAAAAGAAACAGTGATGCTGTAGAAAGCAGACACACATCTTTAAAGATCAACAGTAAACATGCAAAAATTCCAAACTGGTTATTTCTTTATAATAGAAGTAGACATATACCTATGGCACAATCTGTATTTTTCAATTATCCATCTTGTTTTTTCAAATATTAATTCCCACTGAGGTTCTTCCAACATCTGCTGTACTTCAAATTTGTAGGGCAGGCCTGTAATCAATTGGACATCATTATTCAGTGTTTCACGTACACTCACATGGGTGGGGTTTTTTTTCCCCTTTTTCAGCTTTGGGTGCAATCCCTTCCTTCCCCACAACCCTTCATTATTTATTCTTGACTGCAGAAGCTCCCAGTCCTGTAACATGCCAATGTCAAGGAGGTTAAAGTATGATGTGGTTTAGATTGCAAATTTAATTTTGTTGGAAGTAAGGAACAAATCTGTCCTCCTCCCTGCCCTCGCCAATTCCTCAGGCCATAAGGAAGCACACAGAAAGCATACAACATGGCAGAAAAACAGCAAAATGAACTGAGGCTTCATAACTTAGCAGTCTCTCTAAGATCTGTGTGGTTATTAAGTGAATAAAAGGTTTTGGCTTTCATGTATGAACTGCCTGATGGAAGTGTCTGGCTTTTGTTCTAGATTTCTGAGGCATTCTGCTCCTAGAAGAAATTCTTCTAGTTTATTGCAGCTGGGGGAAGAGGAATCTAGAAATTATTCTAAAGGAACACCAGAAAACTACTTGCAGAACACAATTCAGTTACCAAAAATCAGTGAGAAATAAAGAGACTGTATATTTCAGTTAAGCAATTAAAAAATAAAACAAAAAAGCCTTTCCAAGAGAAGAATTTAATGAGATGAAACATCTGCTGTATTTTAACTCCACACCACAAGGGAGGGATGCATGGGGGCAATGAGGATAAAATTACAGTACTATCAGTATGGTAAACAGGAATTGCTGCACAGCTGTGGCCACCACTTCCCTTCCCCTAGGACTAAGAAGCAAGTCTCCAGGCAGATGGTCTTCCTTGCTTACTTCCACAGGAAAAAACAGAGAGGGAACTGTCAGCTCACATGGCCTCTGCTATCACCTTGCCAAGAAAACTTGGGGTTTGGATGCAGAAAATCAGGATGTATACAGGGAGAAGGAGGAGGAGAGAGAAGAGGCAACTAACATAACCATACACTGTTATCATGGGAATTTTCCTTCAAATTAATGTCAGGCAACAACCAGAAGATCCAATCATCACGGGAAATACCAGAAATTTTATATGACATGTTCTTAACTGTTCAAGAAAAGCAAACATCCCATTTTCATGAAAGGCCAATATAATTTTTAATTGAAAATTTGTTCTCTCAGGCTGGGATTTGTGCCAGCACACGATTTCATCTTTCAGATCTCGCGTTTCCTGGACAGCTGGCAAGTCTGGTCCTTCGACCTTCTGAATGCTAAGTTACTCAAACAGGGACTTTTGGCCACTAGAGCAGCCAGTTCTTTGCTATTATACTGCTGTCTCCTCAGTCAGAGGATCCATTCAGAATTTTGTAATGCAGCAAAATCTAAGTAATACATATGGAGCAGTTCCTCAGCTATTCGTATGGATACTGTATGTAAAACACAGTGACCCAAGTTGTCCCAACCCTTTTCATTGCTTTCACAGACTGTGGGAAATACTAACACAGAAAAACAATCCTCTGTCTATTTGGCCCTGTAAACTCTAGTCATGGTAGCAGGGGCTACTTGCAGGATTCTCTGTAAGTGAAATTCCTGGGTTTGTACAGCACAACTTATCAACATAAATATATAAATACCTATATGTCAAGTTCAAGAATAAACAACATTTTGCCCCCTAGTATCCAAAAGGAACAGAAAGATTAAGACAATGGATAAAGCATCAGTACTTACGGTAGGACCCATCAGAACTGATCTCATCGCTAATTACTAGACAAGTGATCTGAGAATATGGAAGAGGATTATTTCGGTTGTAAGGACTTATAATCATTCCAATGAACATGGCACCACCCCTGGAGAAATAACTCTAAAAAATAAGAAAACACAAACCAAGAACACATAAAGAAACACAACCTTTTTCACAAGACCATCTGAAATTTGAAAAAAAAAAAAAAACAAAATAGAATTTGTCAATTAACAAATAAAATTATTTCAAGATGCACTAGAGCAATGACGTGTATTAACACTGTAAATGCCAGGGAGGCTTCAACATTGTTGTGGTGGGTTTTTTTCCCCTATTTATTTATTTTGAATGTAGAGAGCAGGCAGTACCTGGTACTTGGCCTGCGTGTCAATGTCCCGTATGGAGGGGTTGGGGTCGAAGGCCGGGTGGGAGTGGTACCAGCCGATGACGCCGTACCCTCTGGCGGCCAGCGCCTCCGAGGCCTGCGTCTGCGACACGGGGTCCATCTCACACTGCAGCCCTGTACTGAGGCTGTTGCACGGCTCTGCTGCACAGACCTGGGGAAAAAAAAAGTCTCCAGATGGATAAATGCAAGAAATGGCTATCAGTTAAAGAAAATTTAAAGAATTTTAATAGTAGTATTCCAGATCTTCCCCGTGATGGAGCTGACAGGCCAACACCGGAACATAAGCACAACTCTAATGTTTCAAGTCTACAGTAATTCATTTCAACTTTACTCTATTTAAATAGCTGTCCTTCAGAAGTAACATTAACACCTATTCAAATTATATATAACAGGTTTAGTATTTTAGAGAAAATGTAAAAAGACAAACACTTACTTCTACAATTTTATCAGCTTCTGAGTATCTTCCACCTAGCAGCCCTATAACTTCTGCCATAGACACGTGAGAGTGCTGAAACAATATTAAACAATTATTAAAGCCCAAGTTGTATAATTACTCCTAGTTTTGATCTGCACATTGGCAGATCATATATTAGTTTCATAGCTGGAAGTCAGTAACTTCTCTAATGACATTCAGAAGGAAGATTTAGGACAGAGGATAATTTAGGATAAATTTAGGAAAACTTAAAATTTCAGATAGATATTGTGTTAGATTATTATAGACACACATGTCAATAATGCTTGAAGTATGATGGAGAGTAGTAACACTCTTGCTAGTTTTTCTAGAATGTAAATAGTTGTAGATTAAGCACAACATAAACCAACATTAATCCTTAGGGGCTTTATTTAATACTTTCCATTCAGACCTATAAGTCAGAATCTAGAAGTATTTTATCTGTCAATCTTGTTATGTTGCCCATTAGAAAAAAAAAAAAGCAAACAAGACACCAAAACACAAAACATGTATCATAGCTTTTTGAAAGACAGAACTTAATCCTCACCAAATCCATTATTAAAAGTGCTTCAGAAGACACTTTCACCTGAAAAGGTTCCTGAAACGAGGAACGCAATGATGAGTATAAAGAGAAGTAAGGCAAGTGGCAAAGCAGTCTTGATTATTCACTCATAGGCACATACCTGTTTTTCTTCAGTGAATAAACAGCACGGTATCAGCTGAAAGGGATCAAACGAACTATAAAATGAAAGAAAATTTCTCTAAAGATGTAGGACAGTCAGGAAACTTCTCAAGTTTCCCCCTGTCTCATTGGCAGAGGAGGAATAACGTTTTCTTTGCTGAATTTTCTTATCCCAGGCTAGGATGACTTCCACTAAATACAGAAACCTCACTACCCATACTGGTGAATTTCAGTACAAAACATCTACAATGTATATATACTGTTGTGGTTTGAGGCTTGGAATGGGGGCGTGACCTTCCAGCAACTGGGAGGACCCTGGGTGGGTGTGAAACTATTGTATTCCCTCCCCTTCCCACACACACTCTGATAAGAGGCAGGGAGTGGTTTCTTATTTCACTCCTGCCTTGGAGCTCGGAGAGGAAAGTTCTCCTTTCAGTCCGTGGGACCCTGGAACCATTTCTGAGGGTTTTGTATATTTTATTTTTTGTATTATTCCCCTAATCTTTGTATATATTATTTTCCTTACCTCCCTTTTTCGTTTTCTGTTCCTTGTTGAACAATATACTTCATTTTTTTTCAAAAGTGTCTCTCTCTCTCTCTCTCTCTCTCTCTCTCGGAGGGGGGGAGAGGCGAGCACATAGGTCTGTTCCGTGTGGGCTCTGCCCCTACATGGAACCAGGACAATATACTTATAATTTCAGACCACAATATACATGAATGATTTGCAGCATTCCAGCCTGACACTAGCAAGGTACTTGTTTCATTTCTGGAAGATTTATGTTTGAACATGATGTACAAAGCAGCTAATACCTTTTAACTTGTCTTGAGCCTTTAGAAGATTTTGCAGGTTTCAGTTTTTCCTCCTCTCTTCTTCTTGCTAATTCTTCAGCAGATAGATGCTAAAAAAAAAGTCAAAAAAAAAAAATGAAATCTGTACTAATGTCTTAAGTGCTCTTTCAGTAGCAATTCCAAAAATAGCTCAGAATAAAAACTTGACATCAGTGTCCTCTTGACCCACTGTCAATAGTGGGTGTTGCTGGATTGCTCAAGAGAAGTGAGCAAGAGTTGTAGCAGAATGATGCCGTGTGGAAGTCCCAACAATAAGAGATCTAGGCCACGAGATGCCAAATAAGAGAATTCCTACAGTCCATTAAAATTCAGGAAAATCACAGCCTGTATGACAAACCATTGCATAAATGCATGTGTGAGAAGTAAGGAGAAAACCTGCCATTATAATCTGTGGCTAGAATTCATCATAAGACCTCTTTAGGGATGGTGTTGTCAGACTTTATTTCTATCCGAATATATACTTTGCAAAAAGCATTGGAATTATTAACCACAGTTACTCAAAAATAGATCTGACATTATAACATTATGGAAGCAATTTTTACAGGTACTTATTACTGAAAGTTGCAAATTAGAGTGGTTTTCTATACACAAAAAAAATAGGATTTTACAGCTCTTCATGTTCTGTGTAATTTGAAATTGTAAGAATGGAGAAGTGGATACTTTCTTCCCAAGTCTTCTGTAAAATATTTAAACCTGTATGAACGTTTCTAAGCACTTCATAAACCACAGTATTTCTGGGGATATTGCTAGTAGCAGAATTAATATAAGAAACTTCAATCACCTGCACTGTAAGCACAAAGAAACCATGTAAGACTGAAAAAAACATTTAAATGTTATTCTCCTATCCCCTACTGTTAGCTTTAGTAAGGCAGATAACAGAAAACAAAGGGTCATGGAATCTCCTACGAGACAAGGCAAAGAGCTTTACAGGCATAACCCAGGGCAGGGTGACGTGCTCACAACACAACCACCTCTGTGAACACCACAGCACACTTGTATTTATCAGCAGCATGAAGATGGAGCAGCTGCTACATTATTTTCTAATTACTGCTTCCACCAGAGGTTGAGGACCTAGGACACAACTGTTTCCCTTGTATATTTGATGCCACACCAGCTGCTGGTAATTAGCAAGAATTAATTCTTTAAGGGAAGTTTATAACTCAGAAGAGTTACCTCAAACGTCTGCCCTTCCAAGTCCTTCGCGTCACACCAGTTTCCCCAAGGGTCTCGCACCCGCCGCCTCCTTGTGCGCTGCAGCAAGCAAAGCAACCCGAGTCAAGGTCCTCACTCATGGAAAAACTGCTCTCCCTTCATTTTATCACCCCTAAGAACACTGCCCAAAAGGTCACTGCCACATGGAAGTTACTAACACTATGACATATCTCCAGGAAAGAAAGGACACCTTGGAGTTCTTTAGAATTAAGTGGTCCGTAACCTGTCATGCAGCACCACCAGTGAAGCTTTCAGTTTTTAGGGCTGGAAGCATAACACCTGGTTGATGTTCCCTGGATCATCAACATCTGACAGCAACAGTGCATTATCACCCAGCTCTGGGTTATAGCTCAGACAACACAAAAAGCTATAAAACCAGTATGTTTACATCCAGTGTATGCTACAGTTCTTTATAATTCATTACATTTTTTTTTGGACTTGATTTAGTTTTATTCTCATCAACTCATTTATTTTGCTGTGAAGTATTTCAAAAATGCTACGTTATATGTGAATATGAAAATTAAATCTGGCAAGGCTTGGTAATTCACATAGTCCTGAGTTACTACTGTGTGTAACTGTATGCATAAGGCTCTTGGTAAGACACATCATGTACCTACTACACTTAGCAGTTAATACAAGGAACTTAATCACACACTACCAATACTCTCCACTATCAGACTGAATTAGAGAGAAAATAAAATATGGAGAAATGGGCAGGAAGGAATTGGGGCTGCAGGGGAAAGACTGAAATGTAATATTGAATAAATCCCTGCACAGAAATCAAACAGGTAAGAAGTTAGGGGTCAGAGAGCAGAACCTGCACCCAGACTGAATCACAGGGCGTTCTAACCCAGAACCCACAAGCTGAGCCAGAGGAGCAGTTCC